AGAGGTGAGGGTGAAATCAGCACCCCCCCCACCGCTCACTGTTGGGTGGGTGCCCCTGGGGAGGTCACCTGTACCCCTTGGTGGTAGGTGACACGTAAGCAGCTCCTGACGCCGCTTCAGTGTATCAGGAGTGAGGAGTTCGAAGTCTAGGGTGTGACTGGGTCTGTGCGCGTATGGATCTATAGGTGCCGGCTGCACCTCTCATGCTGGGGCCTATGGATCAGAGGACCCCCGGTGCCTTGCAAGACCATGGGAGGTGATCCACATCATGCCTTGCCTCTAATGTAAAGGTTGATGATGACACGTGATGATTTGTGGAAAAAAACTTGGAGCTTCTCAGTACCGAAGTTTGGAAACAGCTGCTCTCCAGCTTGATGAGTTCGAAGAGATGTTAGGTGGCTGCCAGACCGCTTAGTCAGTTGTGTGCTTATCGCCGCATCGTCTGCTCTCTTTCGCCTGCCTCTGTCTCCCTTACTGTCTTTCTTAAGTCATCTATGTTCTCCCTTGAACTCATGTCTGAACTTTTTGACTTTTCCGGACTTTTTTTTGTGGTTGTGTTTTAATGATGGGTTATACTATGCTCTTCCATATGGAAGGATGGCCAGGGTAGTCCTATAATTTTTTGGCACTACTGTAGCAAATGGGAACTTGGAATACCAGTCATACAAGTATGAAATACCATTATGGTATGTAAGGGGTTGGAAATTTCTGTCGTTCCAGTTAAGGATAGGTAGATTCAAAGATTTGCCCCTTTTACTTTGTTACTGAAAGTTACTTTCCTCTTTGTTTATCACAAATAATGTTCCTATGTAAAGGGAGCCCAGAAACATTTATTCTTGTCAAGGGACTGGCTTTTTCAGAAGTGTTTTCAGTACCTTAGTTAAGGTGGGGGGCGGGGAAACCCCACCGAAGGCTCAGTTCAGGAGTACTTTAAGAAACTTTTTAGTTAAGTTTATTAATGGGCAAACAGTATTTGTTTTTTACTTAAATTGTGATTGTTACATTTAGTTTCACTTCAGGGAAAGTGGAAGTGAGCTAAGGTGAACAGGACTGACAAGCTCTTCCTTGGTGGGATACTGCCATCTTAAAAAACACTGCTTGGCTACAAGCCTTTTGATCCTCGCCTGTGAGTCTTGAAAAGTCCTTTGTCTCTCTGTGTGTGTGCTGTGTCCTGTGGAGATGAGATGGCTGCATTGGTTCAGGTCTGAAATTTTTATGGAAAAGGATAATTCGTCTTGGCTGAGCAGACAGTTGGACTTCTTTCCAAAGCTACCAGAGTGGCCAGCCAGAATGATAATTGGCCAGTTTGGAGCCGTATGAATAATGAGGCATGTTATGCTTATCTTTTATGAGTTGTTTTAAATCTGTGAAAGCCAAGCTGGAAGAGAAATGACACTTTAAAATTTTCAGAAACGTCTAAGATTTCTTCTCAGAGAATGCCTCTGCAGAAATCCCAGAACATTTCAGTTGTCATCTAATTATGACTGACAAGGTTAGCAGGTTCAGGGAAACCCAGGAAACCTAATTTTTCCGTGAAGCAAAGTAACTCCCTGTTTTTGTGTCAGCTAGCTTACTGCCTACTTTATGGCTTTTCTGTATTTACTTTGCTGTCAACACCTTCAAGGAACAGAGGTTTTCATTTTCAAGTTAATAAAAGTGAAAAATTTCCATCAAATTTGATATTGTGTGGGTTACATCAAACTTCAAAAGGTATTTTATGTGCAAATACAATGCAGAAGTGATCTTATGCCTTTGAGTCTGTGTGTCATTGCAGACTAATTCTCAGTATCCTTTAGTAGTCTCCGAAGCACTCCATGCATGAAAAGAAGAATGTGTGACAGTTGTATCGCCCAAAGAGATTGTGCACCGGCAGTTATTGTATAAGAACTGTTTTAATGTCTACAGTGGAATTTTTTTGAGACAACTTTTTAATGCGGGGCGAGCGTTATGTTATTAACATTCATTCTTATGATTTTTCAAGGTTATTTTGCTACCTCTCCAATACTCATGCTCAGTGCTTGTTTTCTGAACAAAGTTGCTCGAGTGATGTGATTTGATGTCTACTGATCATTCCATTCACATGAGTTAATGTTCAGTGTTATGCAACAGCTCTGTAATACTCCTTCATTTCTGTTGTCAAGAAGACACTTCCTAATGGAACTGAGTAGTAGCAACTGTAATTCTTGTTTTGGGAGGGGAAAAAATTGCAGTCAGAGGGAAGGGCTGTTTCTTAGCCTGGTTTCCTAAAGCAACAGGGGTAAAGCAGCTCAGACCTGTATGTGTCCATTGGCCTTTCTCCCTCAATAGTTTTCTGGATCCATTGGGTGGTAGTAATTACATTTGACAGTGGACTGCCTCTTGCACACAGTTGGCAGACTGAGCGAAGATGGGTTAGAGCTGTATGAGAGGATGGGGATACTGAAGTGTATGGGGAGAGGGGATGAAGCACTTAGGAGGTACCAGGAAATATTTCAGTGGGAGCATGTGATGAATTAAAGGCATTGCAAAACACTGAGTGGGCAGGAACAGAGGGTGCAAGATCTAAATCACAGAAAAATGAGATTCTGTAGATTTGCTACTCTTGTTTTTAATAGTGATATAAGTGAAATCAGAACAGACTTTTGTGTAAAAAGATAGTTTTGGCTGATTCCTTTTGCTTTAAAATTAATGGTCCTCCGGTGTACTGCCGTCCAAAAGGCAGTGTTAACCATATTAATTCGTTCTTCCCAGGATAGCACCCTGTGCTTCAGGAGAAGAGTTTTTGGTTTGTTAGTTCAGTCCAGTTTGGAGCTACTCGCAAGAATGCCAGAAGTGAGAAAGATTTTTGTCCTGTATGTACTAAAATAGGATGCTCAAAGATGTTTCAGAATTGCAATGATCACTCAGCACTCTCTCAAACACAGCAAATTTGCTTCTGTCTCTGTGTCTGACTGCAGCAGAGAGTAGAACACACCTGTGCTAGTTTAAGCTAGCTGTCATGGTTTGAAAAGTAGCTGTCAGTCTAGAAAAGGAAGTTTGGAGCTCAGCACAGCCTGTGAAACTGATGTGGGAAACTCGAATTGGTACAGTGAGCCTGCAGGGAGCTCGAGACTGCTGTGGCTCAGCTGCTGCTGTGCCCTGAGAAACCCTGTCACCAGCTGCTCAGGTGTGTGCTTTCCGTATTGGACGTGCTGTGGTGTGCAGTCACGGACGTGAGTTTGGGCTGAATTTGAGTCAGTGATCAGCCTCAGCATAAAGACATCCTCCTGTTAGGTCCCCTGGGCTAACTGGTTTCTTTGATGTATTACACTTTCAAGTCTGCTGTTGCTCTTGCAATTAGATGTAACGTCAAACTTCGTAATTTCAAGTATTAATGTACGTGCCAAGATTGTTCAAAGTCGTTTTGGCTGCTCTGCTTATCAGGGCTGAGCTGGTACCGACATTCACAGGTAGTATTTGCCATCTCTCCTCACCGAAATGAGCTTGTATGATTCTGTCATCTTTGTTGTATTTGTGTGTAAGTTTGTGCAACTTCCCTTTTAGATTGGTTTACAGATGTGGTTGGAAAGCACTTATATTGTTTCAGATACACTGACTTGCTTCCCATTAGCAGCCTGGTGTGTGAATAATGGACATAATAACCCTAATAATACTTTGCAAATTGAGTGTTGCCTTCCTTGCAATAGATCTTTAAAGATCTTTACTTTGAGATAGTTTCATTTCTACACAGTTCATTCCTGTAATACTTTCTTTTTTGGCCTTCTCCCTCATATGATTCATGGATACAAAATTCACATTCAGGGAAGACATGTTTTAGGTTTCCGTAGTTAATGAACATAACTATTTCAAACTATTTCATTCATATAAACATGTGAAGTTCTATGATGATAAACATCAGTAAATATTTAGGAGCCTGAAAAGTTTATAGTAAAATTAACTGTGAGCCAAAGCTGAATCCCATTCAGCTGGGTAAGGCAAGCCCATAAGGTCTAGTTATGAACCACTATTTACTTGTTATTCCTTATGTATACTGAACAATTACATGCATAGCCCTTGAGGAGGATTGAGACTTCACATGAATCTGACTTTGCTTTTGTGTATGAATTTTAAGTATCTTTTGTGACCTTTGATTATTTTTTTTTTAATCACTGATCTTTTTTATTAATTTGGCTAGTGTGCCACTTTATCTCGCTTATACTCAAAAGAGTCAAACAGAAACATACTTGGTATCTAGCTGCCATTTTCCTGTCACCCTGAGTTCCTGTAGAATATTTTAATAACTGATTTCCATATAGGAAATGAACTGCTCATAAAGTCTTAACTGGTGATACTTGGAAAAACTGTTCAGTTCTGCAGTTCCCCACATCCTCTCCTAGCCATCGCTTCCCCATCTCCTTTCATTCTTCCCTTTCCAAAAGCATTGGTCTATGAGTACCTCCAATGCTTTGGGAACTACTTGTGCAGAAGATGTTCGTTCTAGTGTGAGAAGCAACACTTGTGGCAGTGGTCGCTGTCGGGGTTTGAGAGCCAGGACAGGTGTTCTCATACTGCCTCTCCACTTCATTGCACAATGACCTTGACTGTATCTTAAGTTACCTTCTTGGCTGACTACCTAAGCAGGATATGGGCTTAATGTTTATACAGCACTTTGAACACGAATGGAGCTACAAACGCTGAATCGTTGCAGGAAAATATGAATGCTATTTTTACCTAATGTCAGCGTTAGCCCAGATACCATATCCTCCACGGTGCTTTGTACCCACTGACTTGCACAGGGCTTGCTGTTACTGTGAGCATCCCCACCAAGTCACAGAACCCTTCCACTGCTTCATCCCTGTCCCTACGTTTGTAAAGATGAAACATAATTGAACCTGCTTTGTCTGTATACCAAATAAATAATGGAATTAAAAAATTGTGAGGGAGGAGCATGATCTAATATTATTTCTGTTCATTTGTGTAGATCTTATTAATTTTAAATATTATTAATGTTTGAGGAGAGAAAGTGGTATAGGAGAAGTATAGAAATATATAACAATAGCTTGAGTTTTGAGTTGTTAGAGCAAGTAGGAGTAATTGACTATCATGCTGGGAGCTTGCATGCGGGCACCAGTCCTGCAAAGATTTAAGGATATGCTCAACTTCATTAGACATATTTCACAGCCTATCCACAATGTATACAAATAATCATATTTAATGTTTGCAGTATGAGTGTTTTAGCAGTGTGGAAAAGAGTGGCTGATTAGGTTTGCTGTGTGTGAAGAATTTTCTCAAATTTCAAGTAGATAATATTTCTTCATGAAAAGGACCTGTGCTTTTGTCCTTATTACTCTTTGTAAAGATGTCTCCAAAAAACTTGTCACAGTATGAACATCATCCTATTAATAGGAAATATATTCAGTAGCTTGCATTAAATATATTTCTCTCAAATTCCTTGTCAGTTGCCAGAGCTAATTTATAGGAGGAGATGTATAGAATAAGGATATATTTTGGTCATGGGATCTCCTTCTTTTAATGCTGACCAAATGTCCTGTGCCTCTCTTTACAGCTTCCAGCTACAGTTTTATTCTGAGCATTAGTGAAGAGGAAGCCAGGGTGAAGGCTTTGAACGAGTACCTGAGCACTCGTAGTTATATCCAGGGGTTCACATTTTCACATGCAGATGTGGAGGTATTCAGAAAGTTTTCGGGGCCACCTGTGGACCGGTATATCCATGTTGTCCGGTGGTACAGACACATAGAAGCAATCTATGATGGCAGCAGTGAAAAAAATGAGCCCCGTAAACTTCAAACAAGTGAGTAATACAAAACTGGTGGGCAGGTTATATGCTAGCTGGCATGGTATTGGTTTTTGTTGCTGAGAATTCCTGGAGGTTCCCTTTTGTACTCTCTTGCACGCTGTAAAATTTACCGTATCAGTATGTATTCAAAGTCATGAAATTTTTCTTGCATACAGTTACGGCATCATTGATAGATCCCGACCTATTTGAATGTTAAAGCTGTTTCCACATTTCTTTGATTTTAAAATTCCTCAGTGTACAGAATTCAATGACGTGTATTTTCTTGAAAAAGCTAGCCACTGGACTGTAAAAGAATATGTGGGTTTTGGCTTGTTCCCTAAAATACAGGATTTGCTCAATCCACTTTTTCCCTGCAAGGGTAACTAAATAGTTGTAGTATAATATACAAATTCATAATAAGGTAAACTGAATGCTACCTCTTATGATTGTTATTAACACTGAATTCCAAAAAGAATGTTTGGGGTTCTTTTTTAACCCTGGTAATTTAGGCATTGTTGACGATTTGAGGCAATACTAACCGGTTAATCTAGGTCATTGTGTAAGCATGGGTGCTGGCATTTTTGGGAGCTGTATCACTCTCCTGAGTTGTTTTCCAATGAGCTAGTCTAATTTAATTGCTTTTTAGTGAGGTCCTTGATCAGTCATGAAATAATTAACAGTAATAACACAGAGCTGTTGTATAGTGCTTGCAATACCTACAAATGAATGAATGTCTTTTTTTTTACTGATGGTTGTTGACTAATATTACTCCAATGCCATCTTCTCACAACCTCTCATCATATGTGTTCTCAATTCCTAGTAGGCCAGCAGTTAAAATCAGACTGCTGTGAGTAGATTCTGTATCTGTGTGTGTGCCTGCATGCATTTGTGCTGGTTATTGGTTTCCTTTTGGCAGTGAGGGGATCTCAGCTGTACCGCTGGCTCTGATAGCACATTTAATGCCACTAACTACAATTTGTCTGCAGACTTTCATGGATCTGGGAGGAGCAATAAGAGAAAAGGTTTCTGTTTTCCTCTTCATGAAATCTTTAATGTTAAGTCTCTCTTTCTGAACAGTTATGTCTTGTTATGTTTGTGATCTGTGCATATGTATGGGAAGTGCTGAAATGGTGTTTTGCAGTGTTCACTGTGAAAATGACACATGAATCTGCCACTCTTAGTCCTTGGATATTTTATCGGTTGTTTATTGGGTGTATCAGAGAGCTCCAGGAGTGGATTAGAGCAAATGAACTTCAGTTCAACCAGGGGGAAGACTGTAGCTGGCAGAGATGTGTTTGAACAGACTAAACAGTATGCCTTTTACTTTGCCCTTGGTGTCCGTGTAGTGGATATAACATGACACCTAATTTGTAAGCTGAGAATTTTAGGGTGCGGTATCTGGGTTTTTTCTTATGTTTAGTGTGGTTGTAACTGAAGAAAGCTTTACAGATTTATCTTTTATTAGGCTAACCCACATAGGCTTCCTTCCCTGAGGGAAACATTAGCTGCAATTAAGCATGCCAGTGTAATCTTTGTAAATCAAAGAGTAAACAAATCCATACCTTGGTATATGGTCTGTGTTACGGATAGGCTGCTCTTGAACTTGAGGTATTCTGTTCAGGAGTACCTCATACAATGAAATGTTTAGAATAAACACATATTTCCATGGATCCATAACATGGAGATTAAATGGAGTCCACTTGTGAGACAGAGTAGTACAGTTAATATCTTTTTTTTTCTTAAAAAAAGCCAAAACAAAACAAGAAATGAGGAAGAGGTTAAATTTTTTATACCATGAATGTTTACATTGAAGGATTTCGGCCAAAATACTCATGTGAAGATATTGGGGAAACAGAGTTAATGAAGAGCACTCTGAGACACATGATCAGAAACACAATTTTGTTGTCAAAACAAATAGTTTGTATAATATTTTAATTGTAGTTAAAATGCATGCCATGAGAATTCCTAAAGCCAGTGCTGTGTGTATTAACCTGGCAACCTTGCTGTATTTTTGAATTTCCTGGTCTGCTTTCATTCCTAGTTAATGTGATAATTAGTTTAACATCCTTACAGGTGTAAGCAGCCCTGTGCTTAACAAACTGCAACTCTTCGACAGATGACACTCATACTTTTGTTTGAAAAAAACATGAATTTAGCAACTATGTTGCCTCTTAAAAATTAAAAAGAAAACAAATGCAAGATTATTGTCACTAATATTACCCTGGGGTTTATCTGCTCTCTTTAATAGCAAAATTTAGCTTCTTGCTGAATTGGAGCATATTTGTGGTAAATGAGTGTGTTCAAAAATGCCTTGTGTACATAGCAACGATGTATGATAAAAAGCTGAGGTTCTTTCTAAACCTTTCCCATTTCCCCTCCCTCTCACCCTGAGTACACATACTCTGTCAATATTGGCTCTAGAGTCTAACCCTGGTCTCTGAAGGCTTTTTGCAAATCCTGCATGACATCTCTGATATGCCATCACAGTAAAATCAGTGGCATTGCAGAAAGCCCAGGACTGCCATAACACTTCATTAATAATTCATTAAATTTCAAAGCTCTTGTTAATGCTTTAACTGAATTGCATGCTCTTACTTTTATACCCTCTTCCTGTTATTTGGATCGAAAGTTAATAGGAATGACGAGTCACAGAGTAGAAAATAAACTAGATTGAAATAATTTACTTTGGTTTATAGTGGCTTTGTAGGAAGCTCGAACAAAAGTAGTTGGATTTCTAGGGTTGGAGCTGCTTTGTCTAATTACATATTTTATTTTTTTTTCTTTTGAAATAATGACGTAATAAGGAGAAACTGTTATACTGCAAATCTGTTTGTGGAAAGTGCCTTTTCAGTTCTCTTTAAAATACTTTTTTCTCTAGGTAAAGGCAAGCGTGTGCAGCCCGCCTGGTCTCCCCCTGAAGGGACAAAACATTCTAGACTCTGCCTCTACAACAGCCTGACTCGCAATAAGGTGACTAAATGAAAGAAAAGTGGAGATTTCCGTAGAAACACAAATAGAGAAGTCATTAAATGTTTGTTTCTTAAGTGTTTACCCTATCAGTAGACAGAGGGTTGCATTTTGTGGAACGTTAACGAGTATGTACCAGAGATGCTGTGTCAGTCAAGTATGTTTGCTGGGCAAGTATTAAAATATACACAATAAATATACATATACTACAAGTGTTTTTATGTATGTGTATATTACATAATATATAGTTCCCAATTGCAAATTATCATCATGCAAAATAGAATCATAGACTCATAGCATGTTTTGGGTTGGAAGGGACCCCTAGAGGTCATCTAGTCCAACCCCCAAAACAGCCAGGGGTTCAACTATAATACACATAAGTATAGGCAATGTGAACAGAATAAAATCACAATTTCTTTCTTTAGATGTTGTCTGTGTAAAAAAAAAAAAAAAAAAAAAGTCTTGTCTGGTATAAAAACTGGTGTATGTGTATATATATATATATATATATAAAAAAACTGGTAAAACTTCTTGTGGTCTTGTTTGAAGATCCTTTGGGAAAGAAAGGAAATACTAAGAATACTAATGTTATATGGGATGTAGTATCCAGATATGTGTGGAAAAAAAAAAAGAGAAAGCCTGATCTTCCCTTTTCCAAAACAAACAGCAGTTTGAATAATGCCCTGCCTAGTCCAAATCTTTGTAATCTGTTATATTGATTGATAAGAGTGCAGATAACATAAGCAGCCACACTCTGTTATCTCTCTTACACTATAAAACCTAGTGGTGATCTTTTCTTGTGGTAAAACTGGGTGTGCAATAACTATTTCTTTTTTGTAATTATCATCCATGTTTTCACATTCTAATCTCCAAACATGGTGTTACTGGTCTGAGGTCATGTCTTTCTGTCTTGAATTTCTTCTGATTGCTGTACCTTCCCTTTCAATTAAGGAAATATTTCAGCCTCAGGATGGAAAAAAGGTCTTGTGGTATTGCTGTGGTCCAACAGTTTATGATGCTTCTCACATGGGACATGCCAGGTACTGCAGTTCCTTATTTTGATATAGGTAGTAACAGTGCCTACTGGAAGCAAAAGATTAATAGAAAAAGGTATTTTATTTAGACTAGTGCATTACTAGAAAATAGTCTTGTTAGACTCAATGCTTGAGACTTTAGAAGTATGTTAATATGTCATTGTGTGATTAAAAACTTACTGGTTGATGAGGGAAAATTAAAACTGCTGTAAAATTATTGACTCTAAGATTAAAATAGTTTGTGCATAGAATAGAAATACACTTGAGGTGTTCACTAAAAACACCCCTATATCTTTTATGTTTTTAGGTCATACATCTCATTTGATATCCTGAGAAGAATCTTGAGGGATTATTTTAAATATGATGTTTTCTATTGTATGAATGTCACAGATATTGATGATAAGGTAAGGTCTTTTTAAATCGCGATCTAAAACACTGTACTTTGAGCATGGAAGTCAGAGAGTATTGTCAAATTGCCATTTGATAAGCCAAGATAAATCTTAACACTTACTAACTTAGACATACATTTTGTCCACAAAGTCATTGACTTTTTTCAGTTTTGTACCGTTCCTATGGTAGCAAAACCTGTACTCTTGCATATAAATAAGCATTGTCATAAATAATGAAGACTAGGCATTTTACAAAGAAACTTATGTTATTTGCCTGTTGTTGAGATACCTAATTAACTCATGGTAGCTGATTATGTATAGCGTGCTTAATTTGTATTACTGCATGTAATTCTTGTAGCTTGTTAAATTTATAGGGATTCTGAAATGCCTTTGGTATGTAATAGATTTTATTTGCACTTTGCATAACTATATGTCACCTCACAAAAATATTTTCATGTTTCTGCTTTGTAGATAATCAAGAGAGCAAGACAAAATTACCTCTTTGAACGGTATAGAGAAAACAAATCAGCACCAGATCAGCTACTTGAAGATGTTAAAACTGCCTCAGAGGTGGGCATGGTATTTAATCCCTGCTAGTGTCTTAGGTTTTTACTCAATAATGTAGCAAAGCACCTAAAAAATGCCTCTGACTTTGCTACCTCCTTAACCTTTCTGCTTGTTTCAGTTAATCTATTGAACTGGCACAACACAAATTAGAAATGTTACTGGAACTGCACATCACTTTGATTTTCCATTGGTTTAGAATTCACAAGAACTATCCGTGTAAAAGGCATGTCTGATTTTTATGTCTGTAGAACCTGTTTGTGAATGCATGCATATTGTTGTTGGGGTATTGGGGAAAAAGTTCAAAAAGCATTTGGATGTTTGTGTGTTAGAATTCAAATTTTTAAAAAAACCCCTTTAAAATAGTTTTTAAACGGTGATATGTTCATTATATTTTAAAGCTTGTAAGACTTCTCTTTCGTATCGTTGATGGCCTGGGAAAGAGCAAAAAGTCTCCAAAGCTTTAGGGATTTACTAAATTGTGTATGCTGGACTGAAGGTGGGGGAAGGTGATTTTCTGGTCATTTTTAGAACAACAGATCACAGAGGGATTATCAGTCTAATGAATTGAATAGGAGGCCTGGAAGTCACAGAGTAGAAAATAAACTAGATTGAAATAATTTACTTTGGTTTATAGTGGCTTTGTAGGAAGCTCGAACAAAAGTAGTTGGATTTCTAGGGTTGGAGCTGCTTTGTCTAATTACATATTTTATTTTTTTTTCTTTTGAAATAATGACGTAATAAGGAGAAACTGTTATACTGCAAATCTGTTTGTGGAAAGTGCCTTTTCAGTTCTCTTTAAAATACTTTTTTCTCTAGGTAAAGGCAAGCGTGTGCAGCCCGCCTGGTCTCCCCCTGAAGGGACAAAACATTCTAGACTCTGCCTCTACAACAGCCTGACTCGCAATAAGGTGACTAAATGAAAGAAAAGTGGAGATTTCCGTAGAAACACAAATAGAGAAGTCATTAAATGTTTGTTTCTTAAGTGTTTACCCTATCAGTAGACAGAGGGTTGCATTTTGTGGAACGTTAACGAGTATGTACCAGAGATGCTGTGTCAGTCAAGTATGTTTGCTGGGCAAGTATTAAAATATACACAATAAATATACATATACTACAAGTGTTTTTATGTATGTGTATATTACATAATATATAGTTCCCAATTGCAAATTATCATCATGCAAAATAGAATCATAGACTCATAGCATGTTTTGGGTTGGAAGGGACCCCTAGAGGTCATCTAGTCCAACCCCCAAAACAGCCAGGGGTTCAACTATAATACACATAAGTATAGGCAATGTGAACAGAATAAAATCACAATTTCTTTCTTTAGATGTTGTCTGTGTAAAAAAAAAAAAAAAAAAAAAAAGTTTTTTTTGGGTAA